ACACACACACACACACACACACACACACACTGTTTTAAGTCACTTAAGATGAAGACCATTATATCGAGACGTGCCAGCAACCTCAGTCTCCTCATATGTAAAATGGGAAATAATAAAAGTACTTACATTTATCTCCATACAGATAGGATCAAACAAGTTAAAATATATAAGGTACATAGGAAAGTGTCTGGTACAGTAAGAACACTGCGCATGCTAGTTTCACTATCTCAAAATTCTTAGTAACAAGATAATCAGCAGAGCTCCCCCCAAAGTCACATTCTTCTACTTTTGTTATGGAAGAAATAGATACACAAGCATCCAAGGATTTCCAAAGTTTTATCCTGCTTTAAAATAGTTTTAAGCAACTACTGCCTCTAACTGTGAAAAGAGTTTTGGTTTTCAAAGCTGCACTTGCGTTCCTTATCACCTTCTACCCTATTGTTCTGCACTGCATTAAGTGTCAACTTGTAAAATTAACAAGGGAACGTTTCAACATTTAATAGTGAAGCACCTGGTTTTGATTCACCAGCACCCTCAAATAATGCCCCCTTTCCAAAGCTGGGCATGGTGGTACACGCCTTTAATCCCAATACTCTGGAGGCAGAGGCAGTTAGTTCTCGGCTAGGCTGGTCTACAAAGTAAGTCCCTGCCTTAAAAAACAAAGAAACAACAATGCCTCCCCCCCACAACAAACAAAAAAAGGAATAACAATTTCACACACACATATAAAGCATTAAAATTAAGAAGTGTTATTTTAATGATAAAAAGTTACCATAAAAAGAATACAAGACACATGCCCCAAATAGCCTAGAGAATCCTGTGAATCCCTCCTTAGAATGACTTGAGCAAAATTATTCATAATGCCACCTGGATCTACCCCTACCTCTCCTAAATTGATATAAGCTCAGCACTAATACAAATCTCAAGGTGACTGATTCAATGATCTGATTAAGATTTTACCTTCTCAGTGGTAACCTTAGAGAGGTCCTTGTACAAAAGTTTCCGGACATATTCTTGGAGAGGAGGACGCGTTTTTTTACTGTCTTTTCAGCTGGAGGCGGATTGCAGTAGTAATACGCATTTTCAACCATCGTAACACACCATGCATCAAGATGCATTGCTTGCTTCTTTCTCATCATTTGCTCCTAAAAGAAAATGTCCAAATTAATCAAAAACATTCCACAATGCACACAACACAAATATGGCTGATCTGCAACAGCAATAGTGCAGAGGTTGGAAACTGGTAAGGATGATGACCATTTTCCAATCACACTTCATGATAAAGCTAAGCAATCCTAAGAAGTTCTAAAGCCTTGGTAGCATTTAGTTTCCTTGTCTGTAGAGACGATCAGATTAACCTGGTATAACACTGGATGGCATAAACTCTGACAAAGAATTTATTCTTGATTACACACAGAGCAGCCAAGGTCAGAACTGCACCTTTATTTTCAGTCTTAATCCTGAACTTCAATCACTTCTAGCCTTGTGCTCCTTGGTTAGCATAGTCTGTTAGAGTTGTAAAGATCACATTTGCAGCAAAGTGCTCTGAATATTTTATGAGATAAAACCTAAGGCAAACCAGTCATGAATAAGTTCTAAAAATGATTTTAGTAGTACAACAGCATATATATTCTGACAAATACTAAATGACTGCTCCCTTTCCCCCTTTCCCCTTGAATCTTACCACTAAGAACAGAGGTTAAGAAAAAAAGAAATCTTAGAATGAGAATGCACTGATTTCATTTTGTATCCATCATAATTTTTGCCAAGAGATTACAGAAATAAATTCACATTTCTTCATTTCAAATATCACCAGCAAATTACGGAGACTCATAGCTGGGTTTGGTTACAGAAATTATTGAATAAAGTATTCTCTGAATAGTGGGGGGGGAGACATCTGTCATAGCAACACTGACACAAGGGCATTCTATGCCCAGGGAGTCCTAAGTTAGAGGTCACTCTTCAACCCAACATCAGCAACTCCTCTTACACATACTTTCTTTCTCTTAACCGCAAACAGATGCTTAGATCTATCTTCAATTGCTTAATAAACTTGATGGCTATTTCAATATCTTGGT